ATCCAAGAGAACCTATGCACCCCAATGTTCATAGCAGCACAATTTAAAATAGCCAAGTTTTGGAAGCCTCCTAAGTGCCCATGAGTAAATGAGTGGACCAAAAACTGTGGTACATTTACAGAATGGAATTCTACACAGCAGAGAGAAAGAAGGAGCTCCTACCCTTCACAACAGTATGGATGGAACTGGAGAGCATTATGCTAAATGAAATAAGCCAGGTGGTAAAAGACAAATGCCAAATGATCTCACCTATAAGTGGAACCTAATCAACAAAACAAACAAGCAAGCAAAATATAACCAAAGACATTGAGATAAAGGACAGACTGACAGTAACCAGAGGGGAGGGGGGCAGGGATAACAGAGGAAAAGGGGACAGGTCATCAAGGAATATGTATAAAAGACCCATGGACAAAGCCAAAGAGGGATAGGTTCCAGGGTGGGAGGTGGGGATGGGTGGTGCAGGGTGGTGGTGGTGGTGGTGAAATGGGGACAACTGTATTTGAACAGCAATAAAAAACATTTCAAAACATCAAAAAAACAAACAGGTATCTGCGAGCTTTCTCCTCCAGGAAGATACCATTTTTCCTTTCTTTTATTATTGACAAGTATCTTGCAGAGAGTTATTTGAAGACCATGGAAATATCCTGTTACTTCTCAAACTTCCAAACAGTAGTTTTAGCATTCATTCATGGTCCTTGCCTGGATTAATTATTTTGGAGATTGCCAAATGGTGATTTTTCTAGTCCAATGATTTTATTTTTTTAATTTCCTTTTTAAATATATTTATTGATTATGCTATTACCCCCTTTATTCCCATTTCTCCCCTTTATTACCCCCTACCCTACACCCCCTCCCACCCACCTTACTGCCCGCTCCGCCCCCACTCCTTAGTTCATGTCCATGCGTCATATACGTAAGTTCTTTGGCTTCCACATTTCCTATACTATTCTTAACCTCCCTCTGTCTATTTTGTACCTACCATTTACGCTTCTTATGTCTTGTACCTTTTCCCTCATTCTCTCCCCTCCCTCTCCCCGCTGATAATCCTTCATGTGATCTCCATTTCTGTGATTCTGTTCCTGTTCTAGTTGTTTGCTTAGTTTGGTTTTTTTATTTTTATGTTCAGTTCTTGATAGTTGTGAGTTTGTTATTGTTTTACTGTTCATAGTTTTTTTATCTTTTTCTTAGATAAGTCCCTTTAACATTTCATATAATAAGGGCTTGGTGGGGATGAATTCCTTTAACTTGACCTTATCTAGGAAGCACTTTATATGCCCTTCCATTCTAAATGGGAGCTTTGCTGGATACAGTAATCTTGGATATAGGTCCTCACCTTTCATGACTTGGGATACTTCTTTCCAGCCCCTTCTTGCCTGCATGATTTCTTTAGAGAAATCAGCTGATAGTTTATGGGAACTCCTTTGTAGGTGACTGTCTCCTTTTCTCTTGCTGCTTTTAAGAGTCTCTCCTCATCTTTAATCTTGGGTGATGTAATTATGATGTGCCTTGTGTGTGTTTCCTTGGGTCCAACTTCTTTGGGACTCTCTGAGCTTCCTGGACTTCCTGGAAGACTATTTCCTTTGCCAGATTGGGGAAGTTCTCCTTCATTATCTTTTCAAATAAGTTTTCAATTTCTGGGTCTTCCTCTTCTCCTTCTGGCCCCCCTATGACTTGGATGTTGGAACATCTGAAGTTGTCTTGTAGGTTCCTAAGCCTCTCCTCATATTTTGGAATTCCTCTTTCTTCATTCTGTTCTGGTGGAATGTTTCTTTCTTCCTTCTGGTCCAAATAATTGATTTGAGTCCCAGTTTCCTCCCATCACTGTTGGTTCCTGTACATTTTTCTTTAATTTACTTTGTATGGCCCTCACTCTTTCTTCTATTTTGTGACCATACTCAACCATTTCTTTGATCATCCTGATTACCAGTGTTTTGAACAGTGCATCTGATAGGTTGGCTATCTCTTCATTGCTGAGTTATATATTTTCTGGAGCTTTTATTAGTTCTTTCATTTGGTCCTTTTTTTTTTTTTTTTTTTTTTTGGTCTTAGGGTGCCTGTTACATAGTAAGAGGCAGAGCCTTAGGTATTCATCAGGGCGGGGCAATCCAGTTGGCTGCGTTGTGGTGTTGCCTGTGAGGGAGGGGTCAGAGAGGGAATAATGCTGCTTGCTGGGCTCTCCACCAGCTTTCAGTAACTTCCCCCACTACCCACAAGCAAATTTGGTCCTTCTGATGCTGATTCCCAGGTGGGTGGGTTTGTGTACACTCTAGGACCCTATGGGTCTTTCCAATGAACTCGTTTTTGCGGCTAGGAATTTCTCCCACTGCTGCAACCCCTACAGATTTTTACAGTCAGAGGTTTTGAGGCTTTATTTCTTCTGTGCCAGAACCCTGGGTTTTGTAGTCTGTCTTGCTGCTCAGTTGTTCCTCCCAGTTTATCTGCATGCAAATGTGGGACCATCCACTCCACCAGCTGCCACCTCACCTGCCACCTCCCTGAGAGTCCTCTCCAGGGACTCTCACCTCACCCGGCTGCCCATCTCTGCCCCTCCTACTGGTCTGGATGAATATTTCTTCTTTAACTCCTTGGTTGTCAGACTTACATACAGTTCAATTTCCGATAGTTCTGGTTGTTTTTTCTTTTTAAGTTTGTTGTTGTCCTTCTTTTGGTTGTGTGAGGAGTCACAGTGTATCTACCTATGCCTCCATCTTGGCTGGAAATCTCTATTCCAATGATTTCAATAAAAGGCAGAGGTTGACTTTCAATTTCAAGGTGCTTGCTTTTGTGTGTGTGTGTGTGTTTCTAGAGGACAGCATGTCCCTTTTCACACCTTTTTCTGCATATGCTGTGTCCCTATAGTTGTGATGGTGTTTGTGACTCCCGAGGGTCACAAGGAAGCCCACAGCTCTGTGTAGGTTTGCACAAGAAGGAAGGGGAACAACATTATCAAATGCATACTTGTTGCAATTCTGGGACTGCAGTGGCCTTCAATTTCTTTTCCTTGGGTCCATTCTTACCGCATTGCCAATGGAGACAAATTATTGGGAAAGATAGCTGATTATGTTAACCCTTTTGTGTAAACCCTCTAATGCCCACCCATTTCTTATAGGATTAGTGTGACAGGAATCCTCAACATGGTGTGGTTGAGGTTCTGCTCCTTCTTGTCCAGCCCATGAATTCAACTTCCTCTTTCATACCTGTGCTCCAGGTATGGCACCTATTTCAGTTATAAGAATACCTGTTTGTCCTCCTCTGGGTCTTTGCACATGCTGTCCCCTCTACCTGGAACACTTCTCTGATACTTCCCATGGCTGCTTACTCCTCATCTTCAGATTTTAGTTCAAAATCACTTCCTTGGAGGAACCCCTCACCCCCTATGGTTGTTTAATGAATGGTGCTCTTCCCCCACTAGACTGTGAATCTACAAGGAAATGGATCATGTTATTTTGCTTACTGTAAATCTCCATTACTTATTGAATGTTGATACTTTCATTCAACAAATATTTATTAAGCAACAGAAATATCAGGCACTGGGTATAAAACAGTGAACAAGATAGATGAGGTTTCTGCCTTTACAGGGAGGGGAGAACATACACACATGCAGAACAAACAAAAAATTCAGGTGGAGATACAGGTGTGATGTGAACAGCAGGGAAAGGAACAAAGGGATGAGGGGAGGAGCATTTACAAAGTGTGGTCTGGGAGGGCTCACTGGATACAGGCAGGGGAGCCACAAGGGCAAAGGCCTGGAGGCAGGAATAGGTTCAGTGCCTTACACGAGCAGCTGGCCAGGGTCCTGGCAATCTAAAAAGGCAGGCCTTGGGCCTAGAGCTGTGCTGGTTGGCTTCTCATGCTCTGCTTCTCCTGCAGCTCACCAAATCTGACAGGCAGGTATTGTTACATCCGTTATGCAAGAGAGGCCAGCTCGGAGAGAGTGAAGTCAGTGGTTCAAGGTCACATAGGAAGTGAGGCCTGAGGGAGCCAGATTCTTCCTTCTGTCTGGTCTCCTATACTGAAGGTGCCTTACCTCCCTTCATAAGGTGAGCTGACCATCATCATGATCTATTTGTGAATGACATTTACTCGATATTCAGGCACACAGGGAGTTCAGGTCTGCCAATTGAAAATTTGGTGTTCACCTGCAGGGTACCCAGGATGTCTAGAGCCTGGTTGTCTCACTTTGGTGAGATTCTGCACATTCTCCCAGATGTTATTTTTCCAACTTGAAAAATAACGACAGGGCACCCACAGAACTGGGGCCTGGAGCTTATTGAAGGCAGGGGCTGTGCACATCAGGGGCCTTCTGTGAGGCTGGGAGAGAGTGGGGGTGGGGGTCGAGGGAACATGGGGCCCATCCTCTCAGGTGGGGTAGGGGGCTCTAGGACCAGACTCGTTGGCTGGGCTGAGAGGACACTTAAGGGAGTACCAAAAACCCAAGTGACCAAGATGAATCATATTTTAATGTAGTATTAAAAATTTTATTCATTGATTTTAGAGAAAGGGAGAAGAGGCAAGAGGAAAGAGAGGGAGAGAGGGGGAAGAGAAAGAGAGAGAGATTAATTTGTTCCACTTATTTATGCATCCATTGATTGCTTTTTGTATGTGCTGACCTGGTATCAACATGCAACCTTGGCCTTCTAACCAACTGAGCGACCTGGCCAGGACTTAATGCAATATTTTTAAAAAATCAAAAGGAATGCCCCAAAGGCCATGAAGAACAATATAGCAAAATGCGTTGGGCATCAGGGGCGCCCCCACGCTCTCAGACTGGGCACTCAGTCTGGGCAGGGATCTGGGGTATCCCCTGCGCTACTGCGTGACGAGGGCCTCCAGCACCGGGGCCGGAGAGCTCAAGGCTGAGTGGAGGGGAGGGACTGCACCTCCTTCTGTCGGGCCTCTCTCAACCCCTCCCAGGCCCCTCCTTAGGCGCCGAGTCCCTTCCGAGTTTAGATCCGGGCCGCCTTTTCTCGCCGCCTGCACTGGGCCCAGCTGACGCGCTACGTTGTTTACGGGTCGAGCGGCCCTTGCTCCTGCCGCCCGCTACCCGCCAGCTTAGGTCCCCGTCTGTCCTTCTGTCCGCGTGTCTGTTTGTTCAGGCGTCCGCAGATCGTGGCCCAGAGTGTTCGGGGCCAAGAGCCAAGAGGCCCAGGGGGCAGCGCGGGTATCCGGGCCCTGAGATCACTGAACGGAGCCCGGGCCTCAGTGGCCTGGGGTTGGGGCCGCGCCGCTGGATTTGTAGTGGCTGAGGCCGCGCGCCCCTCTGGGGGGACTAAATCAAGGGCCCTCACCCGGCGGGATCCGCGGGCCGTGGGCTGCCGGTGTGGAAGAGAACTCACGGCGCCTCCCGGGCAGCCACCTCGGAGCATGACCCCAGCGGTCAGACGCCGCCTGCTCTGATCCGCCGGGACTCAGCGCTCCTGCAGCCATGGGCGCTGGGGGCAGACGGGGGACGGCGGCCACGCCGTTGCTTGTGGCGGTGGCTGCGCTGCTGGTGGGCGCCGCGGGCCACCTGTATCCCGGAGAGGGTAAGTCTGGGGTTTCGGGATTGGGTGGGAAGCAGCGTGGTGGGGAGGGGACCCCTTACCAAAATGGAGCCGCAGTTGGGGACTCAGAGTCCTCCTTGGTGGAGGGCGGGTAGACGGGGTCGTTGCTTGGGCTCTGCAGGGGCAGGAAGCCTCTGACCTTGGCCTTTGCCTGTCTGGGCTCCCGGCTTTGAGCCCCTGTGCGGACCCCAGACTGGAGGAACCTTCCCCCAGTCCTCACCCCGCGTTGCCGCGGGCACCTCTTGCTAGCGCGCCTCTGATCCATGCCAGGCCCTCTCGTAGCCCAACTCAGTCCTCCCTGGGTCGCCTTTAAATGGTGAGATCCCTTGGTCTGGGCGGCCTCTGATAACCCTGTGCCCTGGGTACACGCAGTTTGCAGCCAGAGTCGAGGGGGACGGACTGGGGGTCCTTTGGGGTCCCTGCTGGTAGGTGGTACTGCCAGGGTGGTAAATTGTAACATACCCCCCTCTTCCAGAGATCTAGGCCCTTGGCCACCTGGGACTTCAGATCCATGTTTACACTTTTGGCTCCTGTCTCCAGATGTCCAGAGGCAAACTCCAGTGCTGTGGCAACAGCACGGTAGTACTAGTAGGAGCAGCGACTGTTGTTACTAGGTTTATTATAATCAGCGTCTCTCCAAATGCCACTGCGTTGGGTCACCTTATCTCTGGATTCTCACAGTGGCCTCTGGAGGCAGACAGTACTGTTCACCCATTTCGAAGAGGAGTAAACAGGCTCCAGGAGCAGACACAATTTACTTGCCCGGAAGTCAGTGCTGGAGGGAGGACTTGGACCTCTCTGTGTAAGGCTTCATGTCCTGTGTCTCCCTGCTCACCTTTCTACCACAGCTCTGCTCTGCATGGAAGGGCTTCCTGTCGGCCCCAGGAGGTCTGTAACCGTGGGTGAGCCTCTCAGTCCACCTAGTCCTTCCTGGGCATCCCTGTGCTGGCAGCAGGCCAAGGCAAACCCCCAGCCCCAGCAAGACTTTATGCTGGTGGGACAGTGGCTGGAGAATCAGTTAAGAGGATATAGCTGGTGTGTTTCCCCAGGGGGTCTGAGGCCCCACTTTAAACATACCTGTTGGGTTCCTTCAGATTTGTCCGTGAAAGGAAATCAGTCTTGATGATGAAGGACTTGGGAAGGGACCAAAGCTCCTGAAGTCCGCGCTGGGGAACGAGGCCCAGGGGAAGGCGCGCACAGGTCCTGGGACGGAAGGAAGTCCGATGAGCGCCACTTCCAACTACACAGTGTGTCGAGGCCCTTGAGTGCCTGGTATACCGTAGGCATTCAGTGAAGGGTGGCAGTCGGTTTGGGTTCTTGTTAAGAAAATCTAAGACGCGTTCTTAGACCTACCGCTGGCTTTGTGTCTGTGCGCGCGCATGCGCGACTCCCTGCGGCTGTTTCTTGGGACTACGGTAATTAATTACGGATTTGTGCCTGGGCTTATAGGGGTCAGTGGATGGCATTACCCCTTCTTTACGTGTATACAGTTTCCACAATGGCAGAGGCTTATGTTTCTTTCCTTCACGGCTGCATTTCCAGAGTCTGGAACTGTGTCTGGCACCTAGTAGGTGTTTGGTAAATATTTGTTCTTGATTTGGCTCCTACCTCGTGCTCCCACTGGTACTCCTTTATTCTCCAGACAATGCTGAACTACTAACAATAGCAAATACGAGATGGGTGCTGTTCTATATGGTTTGCATATGTAATTCCAGTTAATCCTCACCACCACCCAGTGAGGTAGTATGGTTTATTGCCCATTTTCCAGAAGGTGAGGAAACTGGCTATAGAGCCAGCTGGAGGCGGAGCTGGGATCGGAACCCCACCCAGCCTGGTCTCTGCACACTGTCTTCTTACCGAGCAGTTCTTCCCTTGGGTCTGGGACTCTGTACCCTAGCCCTGCAGTAATAGTTAACAAAATCCTATCAAGTGAATAAGATAGGGTGCCCCTGGGAGGTTTGGGGAGGGGGGGGAAACTTTATAGATCATTAATCTCTAAAGTCATGCAGTAGGGCATTCTGGCTTGGGTGGGGAGTGGGGGCAAGCAATGTGATTTTTAAGGAAGGAGGGACTTTTTCTCGGAGTTGTCCTCAGCCCGAGTTCATCTTCCGTGGAGTCCCTGTTGCTTTGCTAAACTGGGCAGTGGCCTTCTCCTTGGGTTAGCTAGCTCTGGCCCAAGATTACCCGTGGGCACTGTCAAGTGAGAGAAGAGCTTTGGGGAGTCCAGTGACTTGGCTAATTGGTGTGGGACACTTGCTTTCAGATCCCCCTATTTCTCAAGGCAGTGTGAGATGTTTTTGTTGTGTCCTCTCTCTCTTTTTATGGGGATTTTGAAGATTTAATTTTAGAGAAAGGGGGAGGAAGGGAGAGAGAGGGAAACATCAGTGTGTGTTTGCTTTTCGTGTGCCCCCTGCCGGGGACCCAGCCTACAACCCCAGGCATGTGCTCTGACTGGGAGTCAAACTGGTGACCCTCCTGATTCACAGGCCAGCACTCAATCCACTGAGCCACACCAGCCAGGGCTTTTTTTTTTTAAGATTTTATTTATTTACTTTTAGAGAGAGGGGAAGGAAGGGAGAAAGAGAGGAAGAGAAACATCAACCTGTGAGAGAGATGCATCAATTTGTTGCCTCTCATATACCCCCAACCCCTAAGTGGGGACCAGCCCACACCCAGGCATGTGCCCTGACTGGGAGTTGAACTGGCAATTTTTTGGTTTACAGGCTGGCACTCAATCCACTGAGCCACACCAGCCAGGGCTGTTGTGTCTTCTAGTGTGCGCTCCAGGGTCCTAGAAGCAGAGTGTCCACCTGTTCAGTCACCTTCTTGGTGTGATTCCTAACCTTTACTTCCCCGGGAGACCTGCCCCTTGTCTCTGACCACCTCACTCATAGAGGTCATTGGCGTGAGCCTCCTGGGGTCCCCACCTTACCCTTTCCATCACTGACTTTCATCTTTTTTTGATTAGAGCACTACTTCTCACTCTCAGTGACCTTGACATTTGGGTTTGGGTTCTGTTGATTGTGGGTTATAAGATGTTGAGCAGCGTTCCTGGTCTCCACCCACTAGATGCCAGTAGCACCTCCCTTACCCCAGTCAAGACAGCCAACAGTGCCTGCAGACATTGTCTCCAACTGAGAGTCCCTGCATTCAAGGAGATAACTTCTCATCTAGTGCATTTACCCACCTGGGTCCCTGCTCTCTCCCCTTTTTGTTCCGGGATCGCCATCTGCCCATCTTCCCCTGAACTCCATTACTCACCACCCACCTCTGGCCTTGCCCCGAAATCCCTCCTCACCCCCATCCCCTTCTTGCTGGTCCTCACCACAGTTGCTGTGTAACCTTTCACCCACTGCTCTGCCCCTGGCATCTGGCTTGTGTCTCCATTGCTTTGCTGATGGCTCCAGAGATGGTAATTCCTCACCTCCCAGTTTCGTTATTTCCTGCAGCTTCACCCCAGTTGACCTCTCAGTGCCACTGCCCGCTCGCTCCTGGAAGGCACAAGCTCCTGGAAGGTTTTTACCTACAACTGGCTTCTCCTGGTCCTCTCTCTTCCCCTCTTCTGCCCCCCTTGTTTCCCCCCTTCTTTTAAAAAAGATTTTATTTGTTTATTTTTAGAGAGGGGAGGGGAGGGGGAGAGAAACATCAGTGTGTGGTTGCCTCTCCCGTGCCCCCTACTGGGGACCTGGTGGGAATTCAAGGGGCAACCCTTTGGTTTGGAGGCTGGCACTCAATCCACTAAGCCACACCAGCCAGGGCCTCTGTCCCCTTTTGGGCTAAGATGTCAGTGCTCCTCACAGTGGGTCAGTCCTTATCCTGACCTTTTCTCAGCCCACTTTAAACTTATATATAGTCAAACTCTTTCATCTAGAACAAGAACCAGCAAACTGAAATGGGGGGTCCAAATCCTACCCATTCACGTCTGTTTTTATAAGTAAAGTTTTATTGGTAGTGGCCATATTCATCATTTATGCATCACTTGTTGCTGCTATTGTTCTCCCACATAGAGGCTATTGCAAACGCATGGCCTGCAAAAGTTTACCCTTTGGCTCCTTACAGAGAAAGTTTGCTGACTCTTGATTTAGAACCAGCTCCTTGAGGATCACGAGTGCATGCCTGGCCAGCCGCTCCTGTGGTCCCTGGGTCAGTGTGGATGAATCCAGTCATGTGAAACACCTGGGGACGGAGTGTCATTTTCTCTACAGAGCAAACCCTATTAGATGAGTGGATACATTTGCTGTGCTGAACGAATGGGTTCTGATGGTGAGAAAGTAACGGTGGTGCCCCCTCGTTAGCTATTATTGCAGGAGGATTCTGTGCTGTTGGCTCTGCCTCTAAAGCCTAAAAGAAAGTGGCATCTGCCATGAGCTTTTCTCTCAAGACTCCTTGTGTTAATTTCTATTAAAAGTAAGTAACAGGTAGCTTGGTTTATGTTTTGCAGTTGGACTGTACTTATGTTTTTTAAAATATAGAATAACAAGTAATGCATTTTTTAAACAAATACCTTTTATTTTTTATTGTTGTTCAAGTACAGTTGTCTTCATTTTCCCCCACCAATCCTCACCGCCGCAGCCATCTCCGCCACCCACCCTTGATCCTTCCCAATTTGGCTTTGTCCATGGGTCCTTTATACATGGCCCTTGATAGCATTTTCCCCGTTTTCCTCCATTATTTCTTTCCTCCCTCCTCTCTGGTTACTGTCAGTTTGTTCTTTATCTCAGTGTCTCTGGTTGTATTTTGCTTGCTTGCTTGTTTTGTTGATTAGTTTCCACTTATAGGTGAGGTCATATGGTATTTGTCTTTCACTGCCTGGCTTATTTCACTTAGCATTATGCTCTCCAGTTCCATCCATGTTGTTGCAAAGGGTAGGAGCTCCTTTCTTTTTGCTGAGTAGAATTCCATTGTGTAAATGTACCATAGTTTTTTGATCTGCTCACTTACTGATGGGCACTTAGGCTGTTTACAACACTTACCTATTGTAAATTGTGCAGCTATGAACATTGGGGTGCATAGGTTCTCTTGAATTGGTGTTTCAGGGTTCTTAGGATATAATCCCGGCAGTGGAATTGCTGGGTCAAAGGCAGTTCTATATTTAGTTTTCTGAGGAAATTCCATGCTGTCTTCCACAGTGGTTTACCGGTCTGCATTCCCAACAGTGTATTAGGGTTTCCTTTCCTCCACAACCTCGCCAGCACTTGTTGTTTGTTGATTTGTTTATGATGGCCATTCTGACTGGTGTGAAGTGGTATATCATTGTATTTGTAATTTGCATTTCTCTGATAGCTAATGATGCTGAGCATCCTTTCATATGTCTCTGGGCCCTCTGTATGTCCTCCTTGGAGCATTTTTATTGCAAAAAAATAGAAAAGTATAGGGAGGAAAAAACTACTTAATTTCAGATGTATCTTTAAAAGTTTTTTAAATAGTCATACAGTAAAATTGACTCTCTTTTTTTTGTTGCTGCAGTTTTTAGTTTCAGCAAATGGTGCAGAGTGTTGTGTGTCTGTCCCCACAATCAGGATGCACAGCAGTCTCTTCCCTCGTGGCCCATCTGCCTTGGGCCCCCATTCATCCTACCGGTCCATGCCCCTCACTCCCCACCCCCACAACACTAATCTCTTCATCCCCCATTTTCTCCAGACTTTAAAAAATATCTTATAATTGGCTTAATAGTCTTAGAGTTGACAATTTTAACTTAAGGACCTATTAGATCCTCATTGTTCCTGGATTCCATATTTTGAATTCACTATTTGATAGAATTTATTTGTAACTCTATAATCAATATTCAGAGCAGCTTTGTGGTCACTCTCAGACAGGGCACTGAAAAATTTGCCGTGGGAGTCCCAGCTGCAATCAGTTGCTGCTGGGTCTGCTTTCTGGCTTCAGCTTTCCACGTGTGGATTCATACAGTCCTCAAGAATTAAAACAAGGGTCCTTTTTGTGGTATATTGACTGCTATGTTTTCCTAATTTTTGTGCTTGGTGGTGATTTTGTTGTGTAAAGTGGCCCCCATGCACAGCACTAACGTGCTGTCCAGCGCCCGACAGGGTGAGAAGGCTGCGGCGGGCCTCTGGAGGAGCACCGTGCTGCTCAGATGTCGACGACACTCCTTATTTGGTGCTGACTCCACAGTGTATATTAGGTAAAGTGTTTTGAGCAGGGTCTCCCTTTGTTTGGTAGACCCTGGTCTTGTGGGGGGTTGCCCCAGTGGCTTTTGGAATTTTCTAAACATTTTATTTCCAATAGAGCAAGCTGCCCTGTTCTGTGTTGCCAAATGCCGATGGGATAGGAGTTCCAGTTGGAGTTTAAGTCAGACTTGCGAGGATTTAAATTTGATTTCCAA